ACTCCAGATCCAGCAGTGCTATAGGCTTTAAGCAGGAACAGGTAAGAAACAAAACAACAAAAATGCAAATGTTTATTTGCATTATTAATGATGGCTACCAGGTGGTAACTCATTTGGTTTCAAAAACTAATTCCAATTGTATAGAATATGACATATATTCACATAATACTTCTTTAAAAATGTACTTTCCTGATATCTGTTTTCACTTAGGAATTCATTCTTCAGGGAATCAGTTTGCACATGAGTCCATGTGCAAACTGCTCATAGTTCAGGCTGCCAATGTTTAACTTTTTTTTAACTTTATTTCCTCCCATGTCAGGGTCAGTTGGAATTTTTTCTATTTCCTGCTCTGTTTCTAGTGTTAACAATGCCACAAAGGATTACACAATCCTGCCTGATGGGAAATTCCGAGAGGCGGCCTACTTAAAGGAGTGATCACCAAGTGGCGCTTGTCACACTCTCTCTGATTGCCTTCAGGTGTTACACCTTTTCAGCGTCAGACACAGAAAGGCAGAGTGAACGCTCTGAGTCGGCTCATCAACCATGGCAAGCAGGAAAACGTGTCTCACGGTAGCTCTGTGCTCCCTCGTCATTATCATCAACTTTTTTGACAGCGCACAATCAGGTATTTCATACTAGTTAATATTTTAATGCACTTTCACTAATATTGCCAGTAGTAAGTTAAAAGTGTTATTTATAGCGGATTCTTTGTGTGTGTGCTTAAAGCGAGCTGCTGCCTGAGGTACTCCAACCGTCAGCCTCCTTGCAAACGGATTCTGGGTTACACCATTCAGAACATCAATAACGCCTGTGACATCAACGCCATCATGTAAGTTATAACGGTTTATATGGAAGTGTAGCATGATAAAAGCAGGTAGATTCATGAGGAAATAAGACATCTAACAAACTGAAACGCTAAGAACTAGTCAAGTTGTGCATTTTTGTAGTTATTGTGTTTACTCTGTACAAAGATTGTAGATTATGGAAAAGTTTATATATCAAATGTATTATTATTATTACATAAAAAGAGAAATGCTCACATTTAAGAAGTTTAGGGAATGAATTAAGACTGCTCATAAATATCTGTTCAATCAGTTTATGTGGGCCAGCTTAAGTAGTGGTATTCTCAAGGAAAGACTATAGATAGGAAACTTAACCAGTTATATGATACGCCTGTAGTGCAAATGTGAAAAAATGTACAAAAACAGCAAGAGCTAATGCCAATCTTTCATCCTGGTGTCTGGTTATAAATTCTGTGTAACATATCTTATCTGCACATTTCACCTTGTGGTGAAAAGATAATGGCTGTGTGTGCTTGGCATTTGCGCTCTCTCGGGCGGACTAAACCTTGTGTATCTAAATAGCAAAACAGCATTTAATCTGTGACTAAAAAGCAATCGCGACAAGTTCAGCACACTCTGCAGTTAATAATCAAGCTAACACACTGGAATGAAACTCCATCGAGAGAGACTGTATCTTGAGGGTAAATGACTGCTTTCATCCTCTTTCCCAACAGTTTTCATGCTCCGGGAAGGTTTGTGTGTGCCGACCCATCAAAGCCGTTGACCCAGAAAGTGATGAAGTGTCTTGAGTAAGTATAAATGCCCCTGTGGTGTATTGTTTGGCTGAGCGTTATATTCACTCTCAGCTGCTCAGTGAGTCAAACTGATCTTATTTCATTGATTTTGTTTTTGCAGTGAAAAGAAGCGGAAGGCCAACAAAGAAAATTCCAACAACAATGCATCTTAAACTCTCTTTAAGTGTTCTTATCTGCATTAATATTATCATAATAGTAAATCTACACATAAATATAATTTGTTGTGTGAACTTTCCTTATATTTATTCTGTTTTATAAACAGGGAAGAGTAGTATTCTTAATACATGTGTGAGCTATAAGCTTTAGTGCTTCAACAACAAAAAAACTTGTGCTTTTTTTTAAAGTAATGTAAAATATTATTATTTTGTTATATGTGTTATTGTTTGATTTATTTTCTGAAGAAGATGAAATATAAAACCCTGTATTTAAGTGTGAGATATTCATTGTATTTAATATTTGTCAGAGAATTTATTAAAAGAGTTACTTGATAAAAACACGTCTGTCTGTATGGACTCCACAAGCAGCCACACGCTGTCAAATTTTTGTCCTTATTGTACATCGGGGAAAAACAAAAGAATTAATCACGCTGCAAAAGGATCCTAAATAAAAAGAAATTAGCTGACAGTGATTAGCAAACAGTGATAAATATGTACAATACCATATTTATATAAGGTATACATCTCTGTTTAAAAAGGTTTAAATCCTAGTGTTAAACATTGGAAAAAGAACATCAATGTTTTTTCCTGTTGTATAACTGTAATACAAATTAAAGATGTTCTTTATTTAATGTAATTATTCATAGAACAAAATATTCAGAATGGAAGGAATATGATCACAAATGAAGGGATATGTTTAAGTTCAGTTCATTCACATAGACTGTGAAGTCTGAAAAATTGAGCCACTGTAGAAGAGTTATAAACCTGCTTTCTTTCTAATGGCCAGCAAGGGGTGATGCCTTTTGTTGCATAGACATGGGAAATAGCCTTTTAGTTGCCTCTATGATCTCAGTGAACACTTTTCTGATGACTGTATCCTGTCAGTCACTAGTTTGTGTTTTACTACCCATATGGTTTTAATTTAATAAACTTAGTTTCTTAATAACTGTGGGGAGGCACTTATAGATGGACAAAATGTGTTACCTATTAGAGAAATAGTGGTTTAATTGGATAATTCCAGTGTATCTCAGCTTGGTACATCTGTTGCAGGATGGTTTTATGGGTTATCTTAACTTTAACTACCTAACTCTTCAATAAACAAACCTGTAGGTGAACCACCTATCTAATAACGCTGGCATAAGTAGAGGGTGCAAAGTTCACACAAGTCAAAGAACAACAGACATGTTAATGAGGAAGGCTGAAATAAAGTTGGAAAAGAACTGAAATTACTTTTACAGTGCAATGAAACGTGATTTTCCATTGTTATCTATCAGCAGTGACTAAACAAGCTTAGTAATTAAACCAAGAGAGATATTATACTTTAGACTTGTTTAAAAGGCTTTGTTTGCATTTATTATACATATAATGTGTCCTTTATCTACAATAGATATAGTAAGATATTCTTATATATTCATTATGATTCTCAGTCATTTATTATGTAAGTTATATTCAATTGACAATCATTGTCTCTTACTTCTTGCAGAACTTCTTGGTTTCAGTAATGCAAAAAGACGAAGATGAAGATGTATGATTGAATGAATTATGTGCAGCATTTTAATCGACCAAAATGCTGACTCTGTAATACTTTGATTAACAAGAAATTGCAGTGAAGTTATCATAGACATTTGTTTCATCTTTTCTTGCTTCACTGGTTCTGTTTAAAACCAACATTTCTGTAAGTAAGTAAAACTTCAAATATTTGCTGGAGAAACACTCAAAACTTAATAATGAAACATCAGAACACTGTAAACTATTATCATGAAATTAAAAAATAAAAATAGAAAT